CCTCCCAGGAAACCCTAAAACCCCCAAAATCCCCATTTTTAACCCCAAAATCCCCATTTTCCCTCTATTTTTATCATTTTTTGCCCTATTTTCCTCATTTTTCCACCGATTTTCACCAAATTTTCAGTGTTTTTTCCCAAATTTTCTGCTTTTCGCCCCAAATCCCGGCCCCGGGCGGGCTCACCACGGCCACGGCGTCGCTCTGCAGGATCTCCTGCGGGCTCATGGCCGCCAGGTACGCCACGTTGGCCGCCACGTACAGGAAGGTGACCAGCGGCAGCGAGATGGAGATGGCCAGCGGCAAGTTCCTGAAATCCACACAAATCGACCCAAAATCGACCCAAAATCGACCCAAAATCGGGGAGAACCACCCCGGAAACCCCAGAAACGACACAAAAAGCACCAAAATCGACCCAAAAATGGCTAGAATGCACCCAAAAAGCACCAAAATCGACCTGAAAAGCCCCAAAATCCACCTAAAAACCCCAAAAATTGACACAAAAAGCCCCAAAATTGACCCAAAAATCAAAAAATTCGACCCAAAAAGCCCCAAAATCGACCCAAACTGACCCAAAATGACCCAAAATTCAGGAAAAATGACCCAAAAAGCACCAAAATCGACCCAAAAATCACCAAAATGGACCCAAAAAACCCCAAAATCCACCCAAAACCAGCCCAGGTGACCCAAAATCCACCAAAAATGACCCAAAATTTGGGAAAAATGACCCAAAAAACCCCAAAATGGACTCAAAAAGCCCCAAAATTGACCCAAAAATGTGAAAAATCCACCCCAAAATCCCCAGGAATTCACCCCAAAACCAGCCCAGGTGACCCAAAATCACCCAAAATCACCCAAAATTCCCATTTTTAACCCCAAAATCCCCATTTTCCCCTCATTTTTTCCCATTTTTTCCCCCATTTTCCCCCATTTTTCCTCATTTTTAACCAAAATCTCCATTTTTATATCAAAAATCCCCATTTTTATATCAAAAATCCCCATTTTTTCCCCATTTTTCCCCCATTTTCCCCATTTTTTTCCCATTTTTTTCCCATTTTTCCCCCAATTTTTTCCCCATTTTTATTCCATTTTTTCCTCATTTTTTCCTCATTTTTTACCATTTTTTCCCCAATTTTTCCCCAATTTTCCCCAATTTTCCCCATTTTTCCCCATTTTCCCCCAATTTTCCCATTTTCCCCCATTTTCCCCCATTTTTTCCCTATTTTTTTCCCATTTTTCCCAATTTTTTTCCTCATTTTTATTCCATTTTTCCCCATTTTTCCCCCATTTTTCCCCAAAATCTCCATTTTTAATCCAAAAATCCCCATTTTTTCCCCATTTTCCCCATTTCTCCCCATTTTTCCCAAAATCCCGGTTTTTCACCCCATTTCTCACCTCTGGGGCTCCCGCAGCTCCTCGGTGACGTAATTGAGGAAATTCCAGCCCCCGTAGGCGAAGGAGCCCTGGAGACACGCCAGGAACAGAGGCCCCGCCCCCGGCCCCGCCCAGAAGGTGAAGGCCTGCGAGGGGCGGAGCCAAAAGTGCTCACCTGCATCGGGGAAAAATCAGGGAATTTTGGGAAATTTTGGGGAATTTTTGGGAATTTTTTCAGATTTTTTTTAGATTTTTTTTTTTATTTTTTTCGAATTTTTTTGGATTTTTTTTCGGGTTTTTTTCCAGATTTTTTGTGATTTTTTGGGGTTTTTTTGGGATTTTTTTGGGATTTTTTTCAGGTTTTTTTTCCAGATTTTTTGGGATTTTTTGGGGAATTTTTGGGGATTTTTTTGGTAATTTTTTGGATTTTTTTAATATTTTTTTTCGATTTTTTTTAAATTTTTTTCTGATTTTTTTCTGATTTTTTTCTGATTTTTTTCGAATTTTTTTGGATATTTTTTTGGATTTTTTGGAAATTTTTGGGGGATTTTTTTGGGAATTCTTTGGATTTTTTTTGGATTTTTTTCGAATTTTTCTCAAATTTTTTCTGATTTTTTTCGGATTTTTTTCTAATTTTTTTCTGATTTTTTTCGGATTTTTTTCGAATTTTTTTCTGATTTTTTTCAGATTTTTTTCCACATTTTTGGGGGAATTTTTCACCTTTTTTTAGATTTTTTTCTGATTTTTTTGGGGACTTTTTTGGGATTTTTTTTCCGAATTTTTTTGGATTTTTTTCAGATTTTTGGGGGATTTTTTTCTGAATTTTTTTCAGATTTTTTGGAGATTTTTTGGGGATTTATTTTGGGATTTTTTTGGGATTTTTTGGGATTTATTTTGGGGATTTTCCCAGGCCAGGAACAGAGGCCCCGCCCCCGGCCCCGCCCAGAAGGTGAAGGCCTGCGAGGGGCGGAGCCAAAAGTGCTCACCTGGAAAGGGAAATTCTTCCTCATTTTTCCTCATTTTCCCCCAATTTTTCCTCATTTTTTTACCATTTTTTATCATTTCTCTCTCCAATGTTTTCCCATTTTTTCCCATTTTTTTCCTCAATTTTTCCCATTTTTTCTCAATTTTTTCCCCTTTTTTTCCCCAATATTTTTTCCCATTTTTATTCCATTTTTTCCTCATTTTTTCCTCATTTTTTCCCATTTTTTCCCATTTTTTCCCCAAATTTTTCCCCATTTTTCCCCATTTTTTCCCAATTTTTTCTCAATTTTTCCTCCATTTTTTCCCCAATTTTTCTCCATTTTTTCCCAATTTTCCGCAATTTTTTCCCATTTTTATTCCATTTTTTTACCATTTTTTATCATTTTTTTACCATATTTTCCCCAATTTTTTCCCCATTTTTATTCCATTTTTTCCCCATTTTTTTCCCTTTTTCCCCCATTTTTCCCTCAAATTTTTTCCCCATTTTTCCCCAATTTTTCCCCAATTTTTTTCCATTTTTCCCCTATTTTTTCCCCAATTTTTTCCCCATTTTTTCCCCATTTTTATTCCATTTTTTTCCCATTTTTTCCTCATTTTTTTCCTTTTTTTCCCCAATTTTTCCCCATTTTTTCCCCAATTTTCCCCCATTTTTTCCCCATTTTTTCCCCAATTTTTCTCCAATTTTTTCCATTTTTTCCCCATTTTTTCCCATTTTTTCCCATTTTTTCCCCATTTTTTCCCCATTTTTCCCCCAATTTTTTCCCCATTTTTAACCCTTTCCTCCCCATTTCTCCCCCATTCCTCCCCCCTTTCTCCCCGGGTTTTTTTCCCCAAAATCCCCGTTTTTCCCCCCAAAATCCCCGTTTTTCCCCCATTTTCCCCGTTTTTGCCCAAATTCCCGTTTTTCCGGCCCATTTCTCACCTCTGCCCATCAGCACGGCCCCGGCGCCCACGATCAGCGCCAGCGCCAGCAGCTTCCCCGCGGTGAAGGCGTCCTGCACCCGCGTGGCCCAGCGGGCGCTGCCGCAGTTCACCCACGTCAGCAAAACTGGGGCGAAAAACCCGGATTTTGGGAAAATTGGGGAAAAAAAATGGAGTTTTTAGCAAAAAAAATGGAGTTTTTAGGTGAAAAAATGGAGTTTTTAGGGCAAAAAATGGATTTTTTATGGCATTTTTTTGGGAAAAAATGGGAATTTTGGGGGGAAAATGGACTCAAAAAATTGGGTAAAAATCTGGGATTTTTGGGAAAAAAATTGGGGATTTTGGGAAAAAATTGGGGATTTTTAGGTGAAAAAATGGGATTTTTAGGTGAAAAAATGAAGTTTTTAGGGCAAAAAATGGATTTTTTACTGCTTTTTTTGGGGGAATAATTTGATTTTTTAGGGGGAAAATGGACTCAAAAAATTTGGGATAAAATTGAAGATTTTGGGATAAAATTTGGGATTTTTGGGAAAAAATTTGGGATTTTTAGGTGAAAAAATGGGATTTTTAGGTGAAAAAATGGAATTTTTAGGGCAAAAAATGGGATTTTTAGAGCAAAAAATTGGGATTTTTTAGGGGAAAAATGGATTAAAAAATTGGGGAAAAATTTGAGGATTTTGGGAAAAAAATTTGGGATTTTTAGCACAAAAAATGGGATTTTTAGGGTTTAAAAAATGGAATTTTTGGAGCATTTTTGGGGTGAAAAATGGGATTTTTTTGGGGGTGGAAATGAGGTTTGGGAGGGGCCCAGCGGGCGCTGCCGCAGTTCACCCACGTCAGCAAAACTGGGGTGAAAAACCCAGATTTTGGGAAAATTGGGGAAAAAAAATGGAGTTTTTAGCAAAAAAAATGAAGTTTTTAGGGCAAAAAATGGATTTTTTACGGCTTTTTTTGGGGGAATAATTTGATTTTTTAGGGGGAAAATGGACTCGAAAAATTGGGGAAAAAATGGGGATTTTTGGGAAAAAATTTGGGATTTTTAGCAAAAAAAATGAAGTTTTTAGGTGAAAAAATGAAGTTTTTAGGTGAAAAAATGGATTTTTTAGGGCAAAAATTGGGATTTTTAAGGGTTTTTTTGGGGAAAAAATGGGATTTTTAAGAGGAAAATGGACTCAAAAAATTGGGGAAAAATTTGGGGATTTTGGGAAAAAAAATTGGGGATTTTGGGGAAAAAATTTGGGATTTTTAGGTGAAAAAATGAAATTTTTATGTGAAAAAATGGAGTTTTTAGGGCAAAAAATGAGATTTTTAAGGGTTTTTTTGGGGAAAAAATGGGATTTTTAGGGGGAGAATGAACTCAAAAAATTGGGGAAAAAATTGGGGATTTTGGGAAAAAATTTGGGATTTTTAGGTGAAAAAATGGAATTTTTAGGGCAAAAAAAGGGAATTTTTGGAGCATTTTTGGGGTGAAAAACGGGATTTTTTTGGGGGTGGAAATGAGGTTTGGGAGGGGCCCAGCGGGCGCTGCCGCAGTTCACCCACGTCAGCAAAACTGGGGTGAAAAACCCAGATTTTGGGAAAATTGGGGAAAAAAAATGGAGTTTTTAGCAAAAAAAATGAAGTTTTTAGGTGAAAAAATGAAGTTTTTAGGTGAAAAAATGGATTTTTTAGGGCAAAAATTGGGATTTTTAAGGGTTTTTTTGGGGAAAAAATGGGATTTTTAAGAGGAAAATGGACTCAAAAAATTGGGGAAAAATTTGGGGATTTTGGGAAAAAAAATTGGGGATTTTGGGGAAAAAATTTGGGATTTTTAGGTGAAAAAATGGAATTTTTAGGGCAAAAAAAGGGAATTTTTGGAGTTATTTTTGGGTCAATTCGGAGCCATTTTGGGTCATTTTTTCCTCATTTTTTTTTCTGGATTTTCCAGGAAGTTTGGGAATTTTGGGAATTCTTGGAAATGAGGTGAATCCCAGTCAAATTTGGGTCAATTTTGGGTCAATTTGGGTCAATTTTTGGTCAATTTTGGTCATTTTTTGCCATTTTTTCACCGTTTTCCCCATTTTCTCCCAATTTTTTTGGGGAATTCCTGGAATTTTGGGAACGTTGGGATCTCAGCTGAATCCCACTTAAATTTGGGTCCATTTTGGATCAATTTTGGGTCATTTTGGGTCAATTTGGGTCAAATTTGGTCAATTTTGGTCATTTTTAATCATTTTTTCACCGTTTTTCCCATTTTTCCCTGGATTTTTTTGGGAATTCCTGGAATTTTGGGAATTCTGGGATCTCAGATGAATCCCAGTCAAATTTGGGTCCATTTTGGGTCATTTTGGGTCATTCTGGATCCATTTTGGGTCAATTTTGGTCCATTTTCACCATTTTTTGCCCATTTTTTGCCATTTTTTCACCATTTTCCCATTTCCACCCAATTTTTTGGGGGGAATTTTGGGAATTTTGGGAATTCTGGGATCTCAGATGAATCCCACTTAAATTTGGGTCCATTTTGGGTCAATTTTGCATCATTTTAGGTCAATTTTGGTCAATTTTTCTCATTTTTTTACCGTTTTTCGCCATTTTTTTACCGTTTTTCACCATTTTTTCACAATTTTTCCCATTTCCACCCAATTTTTTTGGGGAATTTTGGGAATTCCGGGAATTTTGGGAATTCTGGGAACTGAGATGAATTCCCCTCAAATTTGGACCAAATTTGGGTCCATTTGAGTCAACTTTGGGTCAATTTCTCTCATTTTTTCCCCGTTTTTCACCATTTTTTCACCGTTTTTCCCCAAATTTTTTCGGGAATTCTGGGATTTTTGGGAATTCTTGGAACTCAGCTGAATCCCAGTTAAATTTGGGTCCATTTTGGGTCCATTTTGGGTCAATTTGGGTCAATTTTGGTCCATTTTCGCCATTTTTTGCCCGTTTTTTGCCATTTTTTCCCCGTTTTTCGCCATTTTTTCACCGTTTTTCCCCAATTTTTTTGGGGAATTCCTGGAATTTTGGGAATGTTGGGATCTCAGATGAATCCCACTTAAATTTGGGTCCATTTTGGGTCAATTTGAGTCAAATTTGGTCAATTTTCCACCGTTTTTTGCCATTTTTTGCCCGTTTTTCGCCATTTTTTCACCGTTTTTCCCCAATTTTTTTTGGGAATTTTGGGAATTTTGGGAATTTTGGGAATTCTGGGAACTGAGATGAATTCCCCTCAAATTTGGACCAGATTTGGGTCCATTTGAGTCAACTTTGGGTCAATTTCTCTCATTTTTTCCCTGTTTTTCGCCATTTTTTGCCCGTTTTTCGCCATTTTTTCACCGTTTTTCCCCAAATTTTTTGGGGAATTCCGGGAATTTCGGGAATTCCC